TTTTTTCCCGCTTTCTCAGGCCTTGTTGACCTCCATTCCAGGTCACCGGCTCCTTCGATCATTTCTTTCCGGGGGAGGGGAAGAAAATTTTCTTTTTTCTCTATGGAAATTTTCAGCCGTCAGTTGGTTCCCACCCAGAGTTGTGGTTTTTCCCCTGGGTGTTGACAGACGGAATACCGTCCTTGAAGGCAGCAAATGTTTGGTCTAGACACGAACAAGAAGGTGCCGACAGTCCCTCCCTCCGTCGTTATATTGCCGTGCCACCGCCGTTCTCCTCCAATAACGTGGGAGGGGGGGTTCGAGAATCTCGGGGAATTTTTCCCAGGAATGTTTTTTTGGACAGAAGTGTTAAACCGGTCGAAAGTAAGGAAGAAAAAAAAAAGTCCCGCGAGATAACCCTATCGCCAGACTTCCACTTGATTTATGGGCGACGGTCTCCTTTTTCCAATAAAACATTTTCCGCTCCCTGTGGAAAACAAAAGCCCTTCGGTGTTCGCCTTTTTTCTCCCTCCCTTCATCAACTTGGAAGGGAAGAAACAGAAAGGCTTGCGTGATTGGGCACATTTCGGGCGGAGATGAAGCCGTTTTTGGGGCGGATCCCAATAAATAACGGAGGTCCTCTGGCATCTCTTTGTTCCTCTTCTGTTGATTCCTCATTTTTCTTCTTTTTTTATGAAGGAAAGGGGGGGAGAGGGGGGGAAAAAAAGGAAGGCCAATATGAGACAATGGGGCTCCGCGGGTGGCCGAATCTCTGTTTGGGTCCCGGCATTCTGAAAGATGACCAATTAATTCTCAGCCCCTTTTGGCCCCTTTCGGGGAATACAACCCTTTTTTCTTCCCCCCTCTCTCAAGGAGATAACACGCCGCCTCTTCTGACCCAAATAACACCAGAGAGACCGACTGACCTCAGACCGAGCTCACACGTCCCGTCCCTGCAGAGAACTTTTTTGTTTATTTCTCTCCCTGTTGCCCGGCTTGCTTTTCCATGGGAGTCGGACGAACGTGGGAAGAAATCCCGCGATCCAATTTCGGGAGGAAATATCCCCTTGTTAACGGTGAGACAGCCGAATTTCCCCCCTCCCCTTCACGCCAAAGTCTTTTTTTCTTCATAGATTTCATTTTATAATCTATTCTCGCCGTTTCCTCCCCTCTTTACCCTCCTATTGATCTCTTTGATCGGATCCATTTGAGGGGAAAAAGAGACTTTTCCTCTGGGAACCTCTCTCACGGCGAGGGGGGGAAAAGTCAGCCGAAATTCCCCATGAAAAAGTAAAGCACGGACTATATATTGTGGAAATGGAGGAAGAACGTCCTTTTTTTGGCACTGAGGTCTGAGAGAGCGAGGCGTATCCATGAAATAGATTGAGGGGGGATGAGAAGGGAATGTGTGTGAGTCCTTGAAGGATCCTGCCTTAGGGTTCACACTCTCACTCTCGCTTCTCTCTCTCTCTCTTATACCACACATACACGTATTATACTGGAAGAACATACATGACTCTCCTCTCTCTCTCTCTCTCCGTGAGAACCCGACTTAGGAATGCAGCTATTTTTTCCTCCCTTCCTTTTTTTTCGTTCGGTCTGTCTTCTTCTTCTTCAACGGTCGTTCCTTCTTTTGCATTCCGATCGTGATTGCGGTCGGTTTTCCCAGAAGGAAGAGATGGACTACCGTTTTTGGTTTCGTGGGATATCCAAGGTCAGAGGGGAAGGGGAATGACCCATCTCGAACAGATGAATGGCTTGGACATGTGCCTTTTTATACAGGAAAAGAAGTGGGAAAGCCCCATTTCCAGCTTCCGCCCCATAATCACAACCACATGCGTAGATCTCTCTTTTGCCCACTGTACACTCTCGTGTCTTCTTCCTCCTTCTCTTCCTTCTTCTATAAAGGGTGAGGACGAGGCGAGACAAAGACGAAATGGTACTCGTGAAGGGGGGGGGGGGGAAGAGAAAAAAGAAAAAATAGGAGACGTGAGATGGCATCTGGTGGATGTCACATCAGCTGAGAGATATCAACAACCCCTACCACATGGATCCCGGGCGATGAATGAATGAATGAATGGGAAAGCAGAGGAGATGGATGAGAAAGGCGGTGCCCTCTTTCGCAGTCCCAGTCGGTACTGGGGGAGTACTAAGGGAAAGAGACGATGGCTTGAGTGCGGGTGAATGGGAACTCGGTCGGGACGAGGGAGGATACGGAGGCGATGTATTTGCAGTCTTAGATCGGAATCTCCGTTCGAAGAATGCCTGGTCGACATTTCTCACGTGGGGTTGTGGTGCGGTCTTTGATCCTGAACTTGAAAGCGGGAAAAAAAATGCGCCGATTCTGACGGTCTGGATGAAAGAATTATGTTAACGATTTGGGTGGGCTTGTGGTCTTGTTGGCGCGGGTGGCTGACCGCTGGAAATCCGGCCTTGCACGTTTCGATATCACGATGGTGCTCACCTCAAAATGAATGAATATGAATGCATTCGAAAGCATGATTTACGACTTGATTGTCTCAGTGTAGAAAATGTAACAGACTCTACTGCGAGAGTTTTCTTTTATCCTTTGTTTTACGAGTCGAGATTTTTCTATTTCTCCGTGAATAACAAAGAACCCTTTCTTTCCCCCACAGGACGTGATACGAAGCTGCGTGGAGCAGATCGAAGGGATGGTGTCCCGTCGCCTCCCCGGCCCAGGGTCAGCGGGGGGAAACGGGGACAGGGGGCTGGGGGTGTCCAGTGTATCTCCTTCCTCACCTCACCTCAAGACCAGCCCCCATGCTAATAACTCCCTCACGCCCGAAGACGTGTGGAATGTCCACTTCTGAAGTGAGACGGACGAGAAACTACCCCAATGTGATAAAAACCTGAAAATCTTGTCCCTTCCAAGTCTTCGTATGCAGAGAAAGAGACAGGACTCGAAAGAACTGTGATGGACAATTTTTCTTCTCTGGCCTCGACTTGCAAATCTTCTCGAACGTTTGTTTTTTTTTAATTCTGTTTTCCCCTGCCTTCATTTTTCGTCGGCATGAGTCACAAGTCTGAGGTGCAGTTTCTTTCGTTTTCGTTGAAATCTTGAAGAGAGAGAGAAAGAGAGGAGTTGAGTTTTTTCCTTGGTTCATCGAAGGAAGGATTCTCTCGATCATGCTGTGATTTGACTGTTTTAGTTATTTTTTCTTCTTCCTGCTTGTACATATACCTGCCTTTTCAGTCTTTTTTTATTTATGTACATAGATATAATTCTGTGGACGAATCGGTTCCGCTGAGGGTACCTTTGTTTTTATCGGCAAGGCAGGACGTCAGAACGTCGTCGATTGGTGCTTGTTTTTAATCTTGCAGGAGAGGATTAAGAAGACATTTTTTGGGCTATTTGGCTGATCATGTGACAAAGAGATTTCTTCTTCCTATTTCTTGCTTCCTGGCTCTCCGTTCACCGTTTTCGTCGCACTCTTAATGTACAGCAGCAGAATATGCCCGTTGTATATTTTCTCATTCGGTTGCACGAGAAGCGAGTGCTGGCTCCTTTTTAAGCTATTCCCAAAATTTCTTTGTTTTTTTTTTGTTCCATCTGATATCGTGCGTTCCATTCCTCCTCTTCGGAAAAACAAAAAGATATGGGCATTGCCATATACCCAATTGTGATTCTTGTTCCCAGAGTCAAATTTCAAGTTCATAAAAATGATATTTGTCACAAGTAATCGTGCCTGATGCTCAGTATACCGATTACCTCGTATTACTTCGATTCCAGTCAGTCTAATTTTTTTGTATTAGATCTTTTTTATGCCAAAAAATAAAAAGCCACTGGAATAATGACCCAGTTGTTTCTCTTCTTTGGGGTCGTTCGCACAAGAATGGACATTTGTGGGGGAAGGAATTCATAAAAACAGGGGATGGTTGGAAGAATTGGCCCTAATTGAGGATTTTAGGAGAGGGAGCTTTGTGTGCAAAGTATTATGGGGGTAGGTTATAGGGTAGGGACAAGAAGGAATGTATATACATACGTACTGCAGAAAGAAGGTCTTGGCTTCAAGGAGACCCGGTCTCGTCAGTCAATGCCCTCCCTGCGAGGGAATTCTTCGCATTTCCCGCCATCTCGCCTCTCCTCGGTGGCGCTCGAGACATCTATCCTTCGGCGCGCGAACGAACAACTACGTGCGGATCGGTAGATGGCAGGAGGGATAGCGCGGCCTTCAAGGTCCAAGGCAGAGGTGACAGACCTCTTTATCAACTCCCTCCAAGGTCTGCACGTATCCCGTTGCAAGAACCATGTCGACTCGATACCTACCGTGTTGTTTCGTCCCGTTCAGCCGCGAATTGAACTAACATGGCACGACGGCACCCGATTGGGCTATGCAAGTCGCATGACCGCAATCTCCCGATAAGCAGAACTGAAATACACAGACGTCGTCAACGAACTCTGTTGAGGCCTTGGTTATCGACGGCCTTGGCCTCATTCATGGGTTTTGGACCAACTCCCCCTGCATGGCGCCCCATTATCATCAGTAAATGTGTTTCGAATGATCATAATTACGCCGATAAATATTTCATTTCGAATTGAACATCATCGAAAGCGATTGAAGTCTGATTTGTAAAGTTGACTGATGAATGGCGGTCTCTGGCTAGAGCTGTTAGAGGTTACGAAAGAAGACTTTGGAGATGGGATACTGGGTACACGAGAGACTCGTATACGTTGACGAAAGCGGCAGATTGAGAGCGCCACCGATGTTTAACGTGCACATCACTATCTAACCGGCCGTAAATTCGCATCGTCCAAAGAACCACACGGTGCAACGGGAACGACCTTGCTAACGCCCCCAAAAAAGGACCGTATCCGGAGGACATGGCTCCTCTGGACTCCACGACTCGAAAGGAGAACAGCCGGAAACGACCTTCATCGTCCCTCGGTCGAGCGGCACGGCCCGCAACCTCTTATGGATGGCGCCAAGGTGACATGCGCTCGCTTCTCCCCGCTCGTTCCCTCGTTCCCTCCGTCGCTGCACGATGTCCACTCTCAGACGTCACGCGCCTCCGTGCGTCCGAACCAGGAGTTCATCTGCTTCCTTGGAGCCGAACTCGATATCGCATTCCCCACGATGCTCCCGCAGAGTGTCCTCGACGTTCTCATACCGCTCGAGAGTTCGATCGCGATCGCTTCCTGCTCGTCCCCCGGGACACCGTCACCGTCCCATGCAGTCGATCGGTCGCGTGATGTGAATCCGAAGATGTGCATCTTCGTCGTCGTTCCCCGCTGCTTTCGTCTCCGAGTGGGAATCGCGCGTGTACCCAGTACCAGTACTTCGAGTTTCCTTTCGTTCTGACCGATAGTCGTCGTCGAAGGCCGTCTTTCATCGGTCGACGTTACGAAAGGGTCGCCCTTTACACGGCTTATCCATTCGTGAACTCATTAGTTTCAGTCGCACTTTTTTTCTCGGCTGTTGTCGATGAAAATGGAAAGAGGCCTGAGTACCCCGCCCCTTTTTTTTGTCTTTTTCAGGATTGCCAAAAAAAAAAAAGATTGAAAGGCGCGGCCCAAGTCGTTTGAACACGAGCCAAAAATTTTGCAATTCGAACGAGCCATGAACTTTCACTCTAAAATGTTGATCGTTTCGGACTCGGAGAGCCCTTTCAGATTTTAATTCATGCATTTTTTGTCATTTATTATTATTGTTTTGGTGGATTGAGTCTGAATCTGGAATCCCAGCTCTAATTGTTAGCGATCGTGGTTTTCTCTTACTTTCGTTGTTGTTATTCTCAGGCACCAGAGAGATGCATTTCAAAATTCTTAAAATGCGTCTGAAATGTCTGTAATTAAGATTCAGATTCATCTATTCGCGGTAATTAAAATCATAAATCTCCTCAGGGGAAGATTTCGTCGAAGACTTCAGGGTATTTTGAATACCCGAATAGCTCGAAGAACGAATCCTTAATCTTTCTTTCTTTCTTCTGGACCAGAACAGGACATTTAATTCCCGTCACGCGACTTCAGAGCAAAGGACTTCTTCGAGTTAACGTGGCTAAATTTTTGTATCGGGGTCTGCTGGACCCAGAACAGTATTTACAGGGTTAAGATGTCGAGATCTTTGGAACTGCCGATCGCGATAAAAATCTAACGAGTCGAAAAGAATAAACGCACCACGGCACGCTTTATAAAAAGCAATCTTCTACGTTTTTCACGCGAGCGAATGCCTCAGATGAAGACGCGATAATCACACCGACGTCAAAAAAAGAGTTTAAATCGGGCAAGAGCCCATTGTAGAGAGCAAGAGCCCATTGTCCTCGGCCGCGGAGCACAGCCACGTGAATGAGGGAGATAAGCCAGAAGCCTGGCTCCCATCCACCGGCTTTTCTTCCGGCTTCGAGCGTGACGACGACGAAAGAGGGGGGCTTATGGGGAGCTTATGGGGGGCATCTTGGGCCCGAGGTCGAGGTCGCCCTATCATCATCACCGTCACCGTCACCATCACCATCATGAATAATAATTCATGATCTGCTGACGATGGTGCGAAAGCTGCAGTCACCCTGACGAAGATGGAGGGGATGGCAGAAGACTTTCGTAAGGGCGAGAAATCCATCGTCCGACTGACAGGAGATTCATGCTCTCATCCATGCTCTCATCCATGCTCTCATTCATGCCTACAATGTCTGAACATTTAATAATTTGATGACCGTCAAACACGATGATGCGAGCACGAAAGACGTAGATAAACTAGCACTGATAGCTTTGACAAATTCGTGTCCGAGTCGTCGGCACATCTCGAAATGCTGCGAGCAATCGATTGTTGTCATGCAAAAAAAAATCGTCTGATCCAAACAAGAGCAAAATTTCCTGCGGCAATATATCTTAAATGATGAACTCTTACCATATACGATTAAAAATTAAAGAAAAAAGACTTCGGGAGCAGTGACGCACTCCTCTCTAACCGAAGAGGATGGGCTGATGATGATAGCCCATCTGCAGGCTCATCTATCATGCTCTGGAGACTGGAGTTGTCACCCTTTATTGATTCCCGTGGAACCTTCCGGGCGCTCTAATGCCCAGATGATGACTCGAGACTTTTGGAATTCAGGAAACGGTAGGATCGCAGGCCATTTCCCAGCGGATCGACTAACACCGTTTTTAGTGCCGAGATGAGAACGATCTTCATCTCCCCGTCGGACAAAAAAAAAAAAACAAAAAAAAACAGAATCGATGAACACCCACTTTATTGAGAGAAGAACGCCAAAAACCACACGGACACCGAGACGAAACACCCAACAGGTACAATCGACGGAAGAAAGCACGGAATACCTCCTCCCGGCAAGCAACCGACCCTCCGGAGGCCGCCTCCCCTCCGGCCGACATCAACCGGGACCGACCGCGAAGAGCAAGAGGAGCATCGGCAGCAGCGCCCCCGCCCGCCTCCCCGTGGAGCCGCTGGTCCAGTTGCATCCGTTCTCCTTGCAGCAGTAGACGCACGTGTATTCCTCTCGCGTTCGGTCGCAGTGGTGATCGTCGAGCTTCAGACCGACTTGGGCCAGGCTGCACGGCCCGATCGCGCACTCCTTCTCGATCGTCTCCTGCTTCCCGGCTGACGATAAAAAAAAATCCATCCAATCGTCTACGGCACACAAAAACGGCACTTTCGCTGAGGAGTCAAACGATAGGTTGTAAAAAAAAAAAAAAAAAAGGGGTGTAATCGATAATATGCCCATCAATTTCTCGCGAGAATATCTGTCAGCCGGAATCATCACAGAATCCGAGAATGATTCAAAAGAGCAAAAATAATCCTTGCGATCTCGTCGCACTTGATCGCACGAATTCCTTCATCTCACTGGATTGATGGAAATCGGAATGAGTCGAGTCGGGGGGGGAGCCCCCAGATATTTCTTTTCCCCCTCGACGAAGGGGGAGCGAGAAGTTTCTGGGGATGATGCGAATCGACGGCATGGAACTCTCTTTTTCTTCGGGAAGGTCTACGCAGTATAAAAAGGAACATTTGCACCAGAGGAATTCCTGCCGGTGTTCCGATCCCATCTTAGTTTTCCCATTAGAAACCCACGATCATCTGTTTCGCGCATCAGGGAATATCTAGAAATTTTGCTCAATTGGGAAAAACCGAATATTTCTTATACACCTATCATTCTTTTCCGTTACGTCTCTAGATAATTCCAATCATATTTGCAAATGAAGCCTAACTGCAAGGTTGGTGTAAGGAAGCAACCCAAAGTAGTTCGGTCAGAACTGCTGAAGGGACCGTCGAATCCAGATTTTTGACAGCTTCACGGACCCAAACGGTTTCCTCTCGTGCCCGTCTGACGGCGGTGAATGCTGGTCGGGGAGGGAAACAGGGTGAGGGGGGCTCTAATTGCTTATGCAAAAATCGAAGAACGGGTGCAGACGATGAGATGAGAAATGCAAAATGTTCGGTTCATTAACCAAGGAGGCAGGAAATACCGAAAGCGATCGACGTCCGTTCCCCCGAGTGGAAACGACTTAGGTCGATGTTTCGGGCATTAAAGGCTCCATCTTGCATTCGATTGCAAACCCGAGGGCAGGAAAATCATTGGGCGACGTTATCCGGTCGAGATGGTATTCGAGGGTATTCCGCAGAAGGCGGGGGACGAGCGCTTCTCACCCTGACGGTTCGCAGGGAGATGCGTTTAGAGGGCTCCTTCCATTTCCGCCGAAACTAATCAGGGCCTTCTTCGGTCTGAGTCAGAAATCGGTGGAAGACGTTTCTACCGACGTTTCGGTTGGGAACAGTCGTCGGCCTCGATGCGATCGGTACGGGTACGGTCTCATGATTTTACTCTCTGGAAACGGGAATTTTTAAACTTTTGGAATTCGATCTAGTGCTGCAGGTTCCACGAGTAGGGTGTTATTCCGTTCTTAGCGAGTGCGGTGCAGCTCGGCGGCGACCTCAACCGGGGTCGAGGCCAATCTCCGCGGAAGCGCATCTCCCACGAGGCCAATTTATTCAGATCCAGCAACGAGTTCCGTCGACACGGTTCCACGACGAGATTGTGCTCCTTCCTGTGGGTCTGGAGGGCTGCAGAATTTCCATTTCGATTGCAGCACCTAATCGCGACGACGCATCGCCGAACTGTGAACTTTCGCATGCTGCTTCCAGTGTGACGAATGCCAGACCTACGCCTCTATTTATACTCCTTCTCCCATGTTTACCTTCTCGCATCCGACCACAGCCCCCCCTATCCACGTGCACCGCCAACCGGCAGACGCGGTGAAACACCTCCTCGACCTCTCTGCTAAATTTCAACCGCATCCGACCCTTCCTTTCCACCGTCACGACAGAACGACTCCGGGCGTTTTCTTCTCGACCGAGCATTTACCCCTAAATCTCGGGAACCGACCGGACGGACCCCGAGAAGCCACCGTCCTCCACCACCGCCCCCCGCACACTGCGAACCTTCCCGCGAACCAGAGGGGACTACCTCACCTGTCTTCCTGACGGAGGTCTTGCAGACGTCGTAGGGCTGGTTGGCTGGTAGGCACGGGAGGAGGTATTCCTTCCCGCACTCTTCGTTCTTCTCCACCTTGCACTGGTAGCACGTCAGGTTCGACTTCGACCGCGCGGCTCCTGGGAAGGAAAAAGAGGGAAAACCCTCCGTCTATTTTTAAGCGAGGCTTGGTGGGTCCTCTGGATGTTTATTGCTTTCATTGTGACCCGAAGGAAGTGATCATTCTCGGGGACGTTGACGAAGGAATGGGATTCATTAGTTCAAGGGGGAATTGAGCCGAGGGAAAGCAGAGGAGGAAGGCTTGTGTTGCCATGGTAACCATGAATCTCTCTCTCTCTCTCTCTCTCTCTGCGTGTGTGTCGCTCTTTCTCTTTCTCTATTGAACCATCTCCCTCTCTTTCCTCTCTGCATATGGTAGATACTCTTTCTCGCCGACAATCCAATCTCCATTCCATTGTCTGTATACAGCGCGTTCTGGCACAATGATGTAGTCTTTCTAGGGAAATGAGGAAACCCTTGCAAATCGATCCATCTTGCGGAGCTCTCAGCCGCTCAACAGATGAGCCGATGCCTCGTTCCCATGGGATTTAGAGCGCCGCGAAGGTGTATATATTCCGGACGCGACGGCTGATCGATCCGGGGCCGAGGGGAAAAGTTGCCGAGAGGCGTTCGCGAGACGTTGCCTGCTGCATGGAGATCGAATCGTCGTCGAAAATCTCACCGGTGGGAATCGTGGAGGCGAGGAAGACGACGGAGACGGTGATGGACCAGGCGATCATCTTGCCGAGTGGGAAGGGGGGGAAAAATGGGGAGAGACGAATCGAGATCAGACCACGGATGCGAAAGGTGAGGGCATGCTGTCCCGCGGGCGTCGAGGGGAGAAGCGGCGGGAGGTCGCGATCGGGCTCGGTGGAAGTGAAGGACTGACGGTCTTCGTGGGGTTCAAACTCTTCTTCTTCGCTCTCGGAGGATGCGCTCTCCCTCTCTCTCCCTCTCTCTCTCTCTCTCTCTCTCTTCCGTTTTCTAGGACGAAAATTTTCTAATAAATTTTGTCTTTTTGGTGGGCGGGATGGAAGCGACGAGGCAATAAAGGCACGTGCAACATCTAAGGTGTGCCTGCGTCCTCAACCGAATCCCAGAAATCGCCTCGATGTGTTCAGCGAGGGCAAGAACGAAACCCACAAGAACGGGAATGGATATTCAGCCCTCATATTCAGCCCTGCGCGTTTCCGTTCTCGGGCTCGCTCCCGTCCCGATGCCGCAAACTCCGTGTGAACTCGCCCTTCCTGTCGGAACTCGCCCTTCCTGCCCGACGAGCGAACCGCGCGATCCGTTCGTGTAAGGCCCCGGCTTAAGATCCCGGTTGGAAACGAATATAATCTCCAGCTGTAAATTCATATCCAGCTCAAAAAAAAAAAAAACATCGGTGGAATGAGAATGTTCTTGCTGGCTGTTCTCCAACAGAAGCAGCTGAATTTCAGCTTTAAATTTCGCTTTATACCGGCTGGAGCGTCCTCTGTAGGAAATTCTAACTGGGAAATTTCCAGCTGGAAACAACTATTAGAAGTTGCATTCCAACTGGAAAATTCCAGTTGGGATTTCAAACTGTCTTGTCGCATTATTGACTGAATTACTTTGACAATGCTTCCACCGAAATAAATCGCAGCTTCACCCGGGTGTCTTCTCGATTCTGTTCCAAACGGAAATTAAAAAAAAATGCTGAAAGCATTGGCAGAAAAAAATCGGGTGATTTGGAATTTCCTCAGTGGGAGTCGACGAGGCCGAAACATTTCTAGACGATTCCAGGAATTTTTAGAATTCAAGGATTTCCCGAGAGATTCGGAACCCCCCGACAAAACAAAAATTCTGTCAGCAGTGAGCCTTTCGTTTCCCAATAGAATTTAATCTGTAAAGGCTTTGGGTCGATTGCTCGAAACTGACTTTAGCGCAATAAAAACCTTCGCCCTTTATTCACGCGAGTGGGATTTAAAATTCAAATAGCATGGAAATGTTGTTGGCTTTCGTTGCTCGTTCTATTCATGAAGACGACGACGTTGAAAACGAACTGAATAGAAACGAAAGTACTGCAACGATGAGAAGGCGATGATGGGGAACTTGTAAAACAATTTGGAAAAAATTATAATTGTCGGGAGAATTTGTCTATACCAGTGGTTCGCAAACTTACACCTTGGTCAATCTAAAGTGGACTGCATAAAAAAATATCCAAAGATTTTGCGAAGAAAATTACTTGTATGAAAACGAAACGATGATAAAACTTGCCTCTTTTAGCTTCAAGTTCGCTTCACGCAAAGGATGAATAAACCAGACTTGATAACTTTTGAAATTATTATTTTTTCATTATTTGATTTCGGCGGATTTTCATTATTTGATTTTTCATTATTTGATTTGATTTCATTTTGCGGATACTTGAGGTTTTACTCGTTACAAATTGCCGCCGAGCCGCATGAAAACGGAAACTCGGCTGTACTTTGCATACGTATTATGCCAAAACGTTGCAAAGCTGATGCCGTTCGTTGTTATTCGTCCGTTCCCGGTCAGCTAAAATAATGTCCATTTGGCACGCTTGGAAAAATCCAAGGAGAGCAATCATAGTTTGCATTCCACCAGTCTCCCGAACGTGGAATACTTCCCCCATCGATAAGAAAAAAATCGATACCAAAGAGGATTTCCATGTTCTTTTGAATGAAACAAGTTCCTTTTCTGAGCTTGATTTAGTGCTTCTCCGTCCTGCGTTTGGCAAAAGAGCGATAACCTGTCATAAACTCAGATTAAAAAAAAAACTAATAGCGACGTAGAAGAGGCACGGCACGGACGCGTCGCGATGACTCAGTCACCCTAGCGACCGTAGCGCCGACTAGGGCATTCCCTGGCCAAGCTGCATTTCTGGGTGACTCAACTGCGGGGCATCGCTGCTCCTTCGACGCCAGCTGGTGGCGGAACGCTGGAACTACTGTACTGCGGATGGGGGATTGGATCATGCTGTCCGCCCTTGTTTTCGTTGCGCGGATGGGGTTAAGGAGGAAAACGAACGGGAACGACATGTGATGCTGCATCGTCGGTGGCTCTTCGAGATCTGCAAGGGAGAGATATGCGACCTTCCACAGCATTCGTCTGCCGCTGAAGTTGGGGGATTCTTAAGAAGGGCATGGGGGAGGGGGAGGGGTAAGGGGGGGGGGATGGGAAAGGCTCCCGAAATTGGGGAAGCCAATATCATCCGCCATGGTTGCTTCTTCGCCTCATTCCGTGAACCTAGGTTACTTACTTACTAGGCTACGGTTCAGCCAGGAGAAAACGACAGCAATGTAATACTTCCCTTGTCTTTCCCCCACTTTCTTCATTCAATACGAATGTGGCACCGATAAGACGAGGGAAAAAAACGAGCGCATTAGTCATACAGTCACCACATTCACACGTCTGCGATGGAAATGATTAAGATGGCTCTCGCGCGATGGAATTCCTAATCTGGAGTCCAGGTCCACTATCGTCGCCCCAAGCAGATTGCATCACCTCGTTGGTCTTCATCATCACGGTCTCGTTCGAGAATGAAAACTTCCATCAAATCGTTCGCGTATCGTCTCTTTACATCCACGTCGAATATGCGCTCGCACCCACAAATCCAGGATGGAACATTCTGGGGTTACGCACTCGACGACTGTCAGAAGCAGATTTCCTTATCTTGAATTGATCTTCACAGAGCAGCTCATTGAATTTGGCTCTTATCTCGACGGAGACGCATCTTCGCACTTTCACAAGAGTCACGCATTATGGAGGAAGTAAAAAAAAAAAAAAAGCTGGGATGGATTATCATGGCCAAAGTATTCAAAATTGGAAGCGTCTACTACCGTGATAGTGCTAAAGTTGTTGGGGTTGTGATATTTTTTTGAACGTGGAAGCAGACTCCTGGTTAGGAATACTTTCGCGCGATAGACACATGAACACATCGAATGTCGTTCGAGCTATGTAGCGCACAAGGTTTCTTGTACAGAAAACACCATTCGCGCCATATAGTATTGGTATTGTTATTTATTGACAATTTTATGTACTTAGCTTAAATGATTTTGAGTTGATTTTTGGTGATAAGTTGTGAAATGCTCTAAATATCTTTAAATGCTTGGTAAGGGGAAGTCGGTTAACCGCTTAAAGGTAGATAGCGAATGTTACTGATTTCCTCAGTTTTCTGACTCCACAGGCAATCTTGCATCCAGCATTCAACACAGCTTTCCTTTACAATAGGTTCCCAGTGCCTGCGCCTTCCACATAATAAATTTCCAGGAGGCAATCGCATGTGGCCCAGCGAACGATCGCAACAACAGCAGCAGAAAGACTAGACGGAGACCCACCACATTCAGGGTATCAACCTAACTGCGGCCATGCTGCGGCAATGCTAGAGACATCTGCAGGCCATTTCTATCTATACCAGAGGGGGACCTGCGAGTGGACCTGCGAACCATGCCGGCACGGTGCACCATTCGTGTATGGCGGCGACCACAGTCCTTCGTTACGTCCAGACCCGTGCAAACAGGCTTAGATGTCCTGGACTGGTTTTACATGATTTGTTCCTTCTCCTGCTTATCGTATTACTAGGCTAGTTGAAGGTGTGCCCTTAATTTGGGAAGTACTTTTAATATATTCATAATGAGCCTTACGATTAACTTAGTGTTTTTTGTTTGTTCTTTTCCCTCTGTAGATCTCTCTTGCCTGCCATTCTCCATTTCTCCTGTCGTTTTGCCTACTTTGACCCCCGTTCCAAGTGTAACGTAAGTACGCGAAAGTCGACCCGTGCACGAATTTAGACGGAATTCCGGTTCACTTTACGGACCTCACCATTATAATGACATACTGCCCTCTGTGTCTTCGTCTTCGAATCCATGTTTTAAGCGAACCTTAAAATGTGTCTCACAGAGAATGCATCGTTGTTAATCCATATAGTCAACCGGAAACGAGCTCCTTAAATTACATCATTCTTACTTTAAGTGAGGCACGCTGAGATCATGGTTACAAATGTCCCTGGTATATATTATGTTGTGGTACTTACTGGTGGCTCTAAGCGTTGATGGTCGTAAATATAGTGTCTCCTTATATTACATCATTCTTACTTTAAGTGAGGCACGCTGAGATCATGGTTACAAATGTCCCTGGTATATATTATGTTGTGGTACTTACTGGTGGCTCTAAGCGTTGATGGTCGTAAATATAGTGTTCTAAGGTAACTGAAGAGTATGCTGTAAGAAATGGTTACATCATTATGTTCTTGGAATTCGATATTTTAGAGGGTCGGTTTTCTGGACCGAATCGCGGTGGGGTCTCTGAAAGTCGATCCCTAGTCGTAGGCATAGGCAAGTGAAGCACATGCCTAAGGTCAGGAATTCTGCATTCATATGTACAATGCCACTTCTCTGGTTGTGCTAACTGTAAATGTATCTTTCCATGGTCAGCCTAAGATCTATATCAAAGGCCATGGATATTCTAATCAAGTTTGAGTGTCAATTATGCTGGGAATATGCAGTCTGTCCAAAATCAGTCGTTCTTGGCTCTGCAAGCCAACACGGCGAGCGGCATGCGCGTATAGAGGCTTTCTAAGACCTTCACACCGGGTGGTGGATGCTTAGTGAGGCTAGGAAGCATGATCACAGGCCCGACTTTGAGGAACCTCAGGGTCGGCTTTCGTGCTGTTGGTTCGATTCATGCGTCCAAATATATTATTGCATTTCAATGCTTCTTGCGATATCATTACTAATGATGCAAAGGCTTTCAAGCTGATATTGTTGATCACAATCCAACTTTTACAGATAAACACACACTACCCTGTGTGAAGCATTCATTCAGTATGGAGCCTCTCTTGTGCAGCATGTCATTGTACTAAGGAAACGGGCTTGACTTTTGCGTAATTACTATAATTATCTTTGAGATATCCTTATGACCAGACATTTAGTTGACCCCAAGTGTCATCCATGGGACTTCATTTCTTGTCTCTGGGACAACTTTGCCATGTAC